GGTGGGGATTGTTGGGAGGAGGGGATTTGGAATTGGAATTGGAATTGGAGTTCTGATTTGGGAGGGGGATGGTTTGGGTTGTACTTAATTTTGGGAGGGGGGTGCTGGCGGTAGATATTGAGCTAATGGGTAGGATGGTGGTATGGTATACAAAAAGGTGAGTTTGTTGTACTCAATTGTCTCTCGATATAATCGCTAGGTAAGTTCTCATCCTTCCTTCCACCTTCTTTGGACTTCTAAACCCCCGAAAAGAATACTTCTATCATCTTGGATGTCTGACGGTATACCTCAAATCCCTACATTATTATACCATCACTTTCCATCAGTTTCCTCGCATTTATAAGAGTATGGGAACAGGATGGAGTTCACCCCTCAGAACTTCCATCGCAATAACAGATACTTCATCCACAGAAAACGTCATTACATCAACACCCACCCCATTTGAGCCCATGCATGCCATCATCTCATCACAACTCAATGCTTATTTTCCTCACACATATACATACACCTAACGCCCTTCTCATCCCCATCCACTTTCTAGCTAAATAACAAATACCCTATCAACAGTACATTCTAGCTCTTAAACGCAGAGTCTGTCCCACGCGTGCTCATGATTTCCCCACATGCTCCAGGTATGTATGGATGTCTCGGTTAGTGTACCTGGTGTCTCCAACCCTAAGGGAGGTTTTCAAAAGCGTAAGCTTGGGAAGCGCGTGTGCTTGATAGAGTATCTCGATATTATATTTCTGAGTTTTCACACTTCAGGTGAGTTCTTTGCGGGGGTTGTGGATTCCCTTCGCGAGTAAAACTGGGGAGGATGTGGCTCGCTTGACGTCTTCTTGTGTCTCCAGCACAGAATGGTGAGGGGGGTGGGAAGTTTGGAATGGGAGATCATTCTGGTATAAGATTGTTTATGGGATCGAAATCCGGATCGAGTCCCGCGCGTGCCCATGATTTCCCATCGTGCATAAACTATCAATACATCACCCTCAAAATTTACCCATCGCCACCCCCGAGACAGTTCTTCGGGGAAGGGGCGCTGAGTCTTGGACGACCGTGTGGTTGATAGACCACAATGAAATACATCTTCTTACCTATTTCAGGCCCCCCTATTTTGAAATCGAAGCGTGTTTGTGTGATCTTGCACGACGTTAGATCTCGCTTACCGCGTCTTTGCCCTCGCTGCCGTGAAAGAGATGGGAAGGTTGGAAGGTACGATGGGGAACTTGGGACGGGGTTGAGTATCTCTAGTTTTATCTGTCTCTCTAGAGTGAAAGGTGGGTGTTGCGAATTCCATGAAAGGATCCCACGCGTCCTTTTATGGTCTGGAGTGGTTGAGCTGTGGGGATCTCATTCGAGTTCTCCCGAGGGTCGTTGGGGTTGGGGACGTGGAATGGGAGGACTTTGAGACGGGGAGGTATTATTTCCTTGACTTTGTTCGCGTGGGTGGTTGAGGGGAGGGTACGTGGTGGGTTGGTCTGCTGAGGGGGGTTGGGATCCCTCTGGTGGGGATGGTTGGGATTGTTGTGGGGTTGTGTGGGAAGAGGTTATATACGGAGTCTGCGTTGGAGATGTTGATTTGGGTATTTTGTTGAGTGGGGGGGGTGGAGGGGTTTAGGTTTTAGGACTTCCATTTTTGGAAATGTTGCGATTGTCTGGATGTGGGTTGTGGGGTTTGGGGACACTTGGGATACTATCTTACAGCATAGTATGTTGATTAAAATGCTTCCGTGAAGATCAGAAAAGGAGTTTCGGGCGGTATAGTTTTGAGTGCGATTCGCTTGTGGTGTCAAGTGGTGGTGGCAGGATAGGTGCTTGGGGGATATGCTTGGGGTTGGGGAAATTGAGGGTTTGAAGATTTGACTTTCTTTGAACTAGCGAAATCTGAGCTTAGACAGGAATTGAGGGCTTAAATTCACTGGGGATGGAGGTATGATTCTCGGGGTCATGTAGCACGTCGATAAGAGCCCTTAACAAGGAGCAGGCTTGGATTCTCCCAGTAGATCACAGTGTGTATACTTTAATAGCTAAGCTGGACTCAAAACTTCAATCTACTAAATGCATGTTCTATAACAGACTAGAGCAGTTATTGCGTTACAGTAAAGGTAGAATTTAAGAAGATTACCTTCTAGTGCTTCGTCCAAGTTAGGTCAGTGTACAGGGTTTATCTTCAACTCAATCACAAAGTAAAACTACCGCAGGAGCGTGAAAGATCCATGACCTAAGTGCTGTTATCTCAACAAGGCAGCAAGGCAGGAAGTAAAAGTGCAGCATAGTTAGAGCTTTGAATACCAACCCCCCC